GCGCAGGAGAGGAAGGCCCTCTATGAGGTGGATTGATTCAGTGACTGGGATAATTGGGATGGGAGTGTCAGAGACAGTGCAATTGGCACAGGACAGAGCGGAGTTTAGGGCTGTTGTACATTAGGTCGCTATGAGTGGCAGGTGACTCGACTGCACACAACAACAACAACAATTAAGAAAGCACAAGCCTTAACATAAAAATGTTAAACTAAAATAAATTTTAAATATTGCTTTAAAAATTGGTGAGTTCTCTATAAACTTTCACTAAAATCTCAATAAAAAAAGAAAAATTAGATAAGAGACTTAAGGAATGTGAACTTATGTTCATGAGGGAGGAAAAGCTTAGGAAAGAAGGTTAGAATAATTACACAGCTCATAGATTGTAATCACAAAATTGAACATTAAGAAAGTGTTGAATTGGTTTACGTTTTGCTGTGTACATTCTCAAACATAAAAAATACTTGAAAAAAATAAAAAATGAGATATTACTACACATCTATTGCCAAAACCCAAACACCAACCTTACTGTTATATAGAGTCAGTTTCTACTCTTGGCAATCCTCTGTCGAATTCCCTAGTCTGCCAGCCTTGATGAGAGGAGATTATACATCCTTTTCCAGAGTTGTGAATTTGAACTCCTGACCTTTCTGGTCAGCAGCACAACATGTAATGTGCTAAACCACTAAGACTACAGTTTTATTAGACTAGGAAAAGTCCAAGTCACTAACACGGCTAAGTTAGGGAGGATGTGGAACAACAGGAACATTTACTTATTGATAGTGGGACTGTGAAAAAGCAAAGTCATTTTGGAAAACAGTTTGGAAGTTTCTTACAAAGCTAACATAGATTTATTCTATGATCCAGGTATGGTTCTTCCTGTTATTTACCAAATTAAGGTATGTTCACAAATAAACCCTGAGAAAATTAAAACTGGGACACAAACGAAGATTTGTACACCAATGTTCATTGCAGCATTATTCACCATCACAAGAACATGGAAAGAGTCCAAATGTCCAACCACAAGTGAATGGATTGAGAAACTGTGGTACATTCACATGATGGAATACTACACAGCGTGCAGAAGCAATGATTTTGAAAATCACTACTTAACTTGAGAGGGACTGGAGAGCATAATGGTAAGTAAATTAACTTAGTCACTTAAGTATAAATACTGTATAAGACCATTATTGTAAAAATAGAAAGCTAACTAGTTAAACGTATAAGAGGATCCAAGGGGGGAAGGTAGAAGCAGAGGGGTGAAAATAGACAAGAGGTGGAGATAATCATGGGGTTGCATAACTTGACGGGTAGAGGGAAAGGTGAGTAAAGAAAATAGGAAAGATATGATGTGAAAAACAATGTAAACTAACTTTGTAAGTAAACGAATGTAAAAAATTTTCTTTTTAAAAAATATGTTCACAAAAACATCTGTACATTTAAAAAATTGTTAAGTTCTGTACTGAAATGAAGTGACATTTAGATCATACTTTAAATATGTGATCTTAAGCAGTATTTCAATTAATAATGAATTACTTTTTAAAGCTACTTTGTTACCATTTGTAAAATTAACCTCTTTCAAATCAGCATTATTTTATTGTTTTTGAGAAAGACCTTTTAAAAATATCGTTAGCTGATTACTATTTTTTAAATTTATTATTTATTATCATTAATTTTAATGAAAATTTACAGACTTTGGATTTCCATTCATTCATTGTTGCACTTTTCTCCCTGTCCACCCCTCCCCCCAGCTTGCTCTTCTATTTGAAAGGTAAAAGAAAAATTATTTCATTGTTGTATAATCCTCCCCCCAAGTCCACTCCACCATGCAGATTACTATTTTAAAGCACTGTCACAGTATACTGATGTAAAATGCCATTTACAACATCAGTTTCTATATAAAAGAATTTGAATAGATTGACTAAATTTATGCTGGTTAAGAATAGAACCTACTACAAAAAAATCTTTGTTACAAAACCAATTTTGAATACCTTTAAATAAATTTTAGCTGTTGTCCCTAAAGACTGAGCCAGAGAAAAGGAAAGAACAAATAAAATCACTAGAAGACAAATTATAGGAATTAAAAATAGAATCAATGCTCCTTTTGTATGGTTCTGCAGCATATTAAGTATTCACTTTATGTGCTCCTATTTTCATTACTCTTCAAATGAGTACTCCCCGAAATCAATAGTTATAAAATCACGTTTCTTGAATATAATGCTAAAACCAATTAGGATTGATTTCACTAGCATCTGAAAAAATGGCATCGTGCAGAGATCCATATAGGTAGAACCACAGTATTGATTCAGACTGTTATTGTTACAGTTGGTTTCTGAAGCCTGCTACAGGACAGCTATCAAGACATGCCACATTTATTTGCAAGCATATAAAAAGAAGTCCCTAAATAAAAGAAGGGTTTAAAAAAAAAAAAAGACTAGTGGAGCTATGCAATGACAATGATACACTATCAGCTTACTCAGAGAAGTTACAGTGGGAATACACACATTGAATTATACATTACGAGAAAGCACTGATTTATTGTGGTAATAACATCCACCTCATTAAAAGATTCTGCTTTGCTGCAGTTGGAGGGCTACATATTGTTTACTGCTATAAATTAATGGCAGTGCAAAGAAGATTGTGGAACCGTCCTAACAATAGATCTGTAATGACAGTGCTGTATATCATAGCTTCCTCAGCAGCTTCATAACAAAATGGAGACAATGTATTGAGCTAATACATTCTACCATGCTGGCCCATATTTTTCTGACAACTGCTTTAAAAGATGAGCTGAATCCAACTATATTATAATGCTGTAAAAGATTTAACTAAGCAAGAGCCAGTCACGAACCAAAGTGCATCATCACATTTTTAAAACATTGCCTAAATCAGCATTTTAAGATGTTTATTCATCTTTGCAAAAGAATGAAAGGCAAATGCTGATGGACTTTCTTATACAGAACACTACAAAAAAAACAATCATAAGACAGTTCAGGGAGATTCTTATCACTATCATCCTACATAGAAGCTCTTTATACAATTTCATGCTGGGAACTTGATAGAGGTTTTTGTTTTTAAATTCGCAAAATTATCAGAGGGGGGACAGAACTGGTTATTAAAGAAGAGTCATAACTTATTGAGAAAAAGTCAGTAAAATGTAAAAAAATTAGAGTATAAAAATATTGTAATTCCAGTTCATAATTAGGTAAACATACATAGCATTGGAACATAGAAAAAGAATTTTAAGTAATAATACAGAAACCTAACAAATAGGAAAGATTCAATGGGGATTTGAAAAGATGGGATAAAAATAAACATGTCAACAGTAATTATAGAAAATATAATGTATATTAATGATTATATGAAACATTGTAAATGAAAGACTGGATAAAGCACAATGTACATGAATGAAAAATAATGTAAATAAATTTTATATAAACCAATTAAAAAAAATCTATAACAATCTCTAAATCTAAAAAAAAAAATGCCTAGCTCAGTATCAGGCACATAGTACAGGCTACCAGTAACAATAGTATTAATTATTATTCAGGTTATTTTATAAATTTTTTAAAAAAACAATCAAATGATGGAATTATTAGTACATGATAGTAAGAAAAAAATGCAAGGAAGCATCTTAAGTTTGTATTAGCAAAACAGGTATAAATATATACTCCTGTCCATTGTCTGTAAGCAGGCTAATAGTAGAGCTATCGCTGCTGCTGCTGCTCTGTGCCACCTGAGTCTAAACTAACTC